CCCCAGGGAGCTCCAGACAAGCAGGGCAGACTCTCCATGATGTCCCAAGTGCCTCACACAATGCCCACCATGGAGCAGGCACGCAAGAAACTGTATGGAACTCAAATGAGCTACAAGGAGGCTCTGTGCCCTATACGCACTGGAACTCTTTAGAATTTCAATATGGGAGCCAGAGTTCTAAAGAAATCAATGTTTCAACAGCCAACATCTGAATATTCTGGCTCTGATTTGGAACTATAGAGCAATGCATCAAATTCTCTCTCTTTACATCAAATTCCTCTGGGACTTTTAAAATATATTGGTGCCCAGATCCCACCCCTAGTGATTCTAATTTAATAGACCTGACGTGGGACCTGGACTGCGGTTGGTATTAAAAGGCCTTATGTGCAACCAGAGTTTAGTCCCTCTGCTGCAGCTCAAGGGAGTCCCACATATCATACAGAGCTCCCAGTCCAAGTACTGCTGGAAAAGTCAGAGAACTGGTTTATGGGAGTACCGGGAAAATGATCCCCTCAGCTGCTGAGTCTGGCTACGGGCTGACTCTTACCCAGTGTGCCATAGAAATAGCATTTTTCCAGGTGTGCTGTGAGTGGAAACCAGTTGGAAGCACTGATGGAATAAACACCTACTAATCGGGCATGTACTGGGTGCCAGAGCAGTGCTAGGAAATTTGCACATGTCAGCTTATTTAACCCTCACAACACACCCCTGGTGGGATGTTTGTGATTCCTATTTTTCTGATGAGAAAAACAGACCCAGAGAGAGGTTAAGAATCTGCCCAAGGCCACAGAGATGGAAAGTGTCAGATCAACTACACAGAGCTGTGCAGGAAATCTCTGTGTAAGCAGCTCGATACTTCAGGAACAGGAAAGACTCTGGGGAGAAAGGAGGAGGGAGAATGTGAGAGCTGGGAAAGGAGAGGAGAAAAGGAGAGAACGAGGCAGGATCAGGGAGGGCACGGCAGCTTGAGAGTTGTCACAAGGCTTCTAAGTGAAGCTGACATTCTCACAGCAAACTTGGGTTTGGGTGAAGCTGAGCGGTAGATTGCTGGCCTCAGTGGGGATGCGGACACAGGCTGTACAGCATGGAGGGCCACAGGCTGCTCCCCTGGGTTCCTGCCCAACCCCAAGCCAGGGTCAAATGTGTGAAGTGGTCTTAGCCCCAGGTTTGCCGTGTGGATCGAACACATCTGGTTCATGGTGGGTGCTCAGGAAATGTCAGTTTGTCTGTCTGTCTGCTTGCCCCCCTCTCATTCCTCCCACTTCCCCAGGTCTAAGCTGGGTGGGAGACCCAGAATCAGGGATACTCACAGGATGTAGGTGATGACGCCTATGCTCCTGCAAAACAAAGAACAGTCAAGTTAGGGCCTCCTGGCTCTAATCCTGGACCAGCAAGGGACTCCCCGCACAGTTCTCAAGGGAAGGGGCCACTGCCCCTCCATGGTGGCCTCTGAATGCCATCTCCAGCCCCACAGTCCTCTCCACTCCACTCTTCAGCAGCACCCAGGGAAGCATTTGGAGTCATCAAGCTCTGGACATTGAGTCCGAGGACACAAGTTCAAGATCAGACTCCTGCACTTGATGGCTGTGACTGGGGCAAGTCCCTTATCACTTCTGAGCCTCTTTCTCCTCATACAGTAAGGACAATAATAACTACCTCACAGCCTTGCTGGGAGGATTTTAGAAAACCAACTAATCAAAGTGCGCAGCCAACTATAAAGCACTGTTCAAAGGAAACAAGTCCTGTCTGCGCAGAGAATCAATCACTGCGGTATCCCCAGGCCCACCACAGAGCCGAGAACACGAGGCTCTCCAGGATCGCTTGACAGACTGAAGCTGTGGCGGGCTTCAGGGGTGATCCTGGACCTCCAGCCTCGGCTCTCCCCTTGTTCTCTGCCTCTGCCATGTTCTAACTTGCTGCAGGTCCAGGCCTAGCTGCCTCCAGCTGCTCAGGCCTCAGACCCAGCACAGCCGGAGCAGCCAGTCTCTGAAAGGTGAGTGTGGAGAAAGGGGTTTTTACGGTCAAGAGGGCTATCAGCCAGAGGCAGGGTCTGAGGCCTTCTGCCCTTGGAAGGATCCCTAGACCACCCAGGTGGCCTACACAACTTACCACATGTCAGCCTCCAGGCCCAGAGGCTCATAGTTCACAATTTCTGGAGCTGAAAAAAAGCCATATTGAAGAGTCAGCAGGTGTATGAAAATGGAAGAGATGGCTGTAGGGAATTTTAGGGAGTTTGGTGCCAAATGTCTCCATCTTGAATCCCCACTAAGGAAAATCAGAGCAAAGGAAAGAGATAGTCAAGCTCTAAGAGTGTTGAGGAAGTTAGTTGCCTGTTATCCTCTTTTACAAAGAGGCCTTGATAGTGAGGATGAGGGAACACACATAGAAATGTCTGGAAAAGGAAGAGGAGGGTGGGGAGAGGAAGACGCAAGAAGGGAAAATGAGGCCTAGTGACAAGGCCTACGTTAGAATTCTCTGGTGGAAACCAGTCAGGTCAGCACTGGAAGGTGATGGAGAAGATGGCAGAGAGGGAATGCACATTGCTCTGAGTCTTGTCTGAAAGAAGGTACCTCCCACCTGAGGGGCAGGAGGACATTCTGGGGTGCAGATGAGGTGCCTGAGGGGTATCCTGGGGAAGGTGTTCAGGAAAAGCTGGACATTGGGGATTGGGCCAGAGCCATCAAATTGGGAGTCATAGTATAGGTGGAAACAGTAGTTGTGCAAATGATGTGGTGACCACAGGAGAGGGTGCAGGGTCTAGGAAAGAAGACTCAACTGTGAAGAAAAGGAGACCAAATGCACCCCAGAGGTCAGCAGACAAGCACTGGAAACTAAGTGTTGAACTTCATACTCACTGCAGTGGCCAGAGGATGCCCTAAGTGTGGGAAGTGGAGATAAGTGTGTAGACAACTCTTTTAAAAAGGTTGGCTAAGAAATGGAGAATGAGAGGGCAGAGGCGAGAGAAGGGAGAAAGGCCGAGCCTGTTTCACCACTAAAGGAATAAGGTGGGGAGTGGGAAAGGCTAAGTTTGTTGATCTAAAACAATGTCAAAGCCACTGCATCTACAGGGTATGCCCACCATCCCCCCCTCCCACCTCTCCCTACTTCCAGATACAGGGAACCATTATTCTGGCTTTGCTTATTTTTTAGCTTCATAAAAATGATGTCATACTACATGTGATCTGCCATCACTTGACTCCCCCCCCCAATCAACATTATGCTTCTAGTGTTCATTGAATGTTCATTCGTGATCTTTCATTTTCGCTAATAGTCCATTGTGTGAATATACAGGTATCATTTTTAACTCATTCTCTTCTCAATAGTCATTTGAATGGTTTCCATTTCTTTTATTATTGGAACACCATTTCTATGAACTTTTTTTGTACATGTCTTCTGACACACACATGAAAGACTTTGTCTAGGACAGTAATATTCAAAGTGTGGTCCACAGACAAATAGTCTGCAAATTGTCACTGGCCCAGACAAGATAGGCACAGAAATTGGGAGTAAGCATTTAGAGACGCATACAGCAACATGACATTGCTGTGACATTCAAACTGTGATAATTTTTCTGGAAATTTATTTTTCTTGTATCTTACTGAAGAAGCAGTCCAGGGCAGATTGAAGAATTTTTGTTTAAGTTTTTCATAATAGACAGTGTGAGAAGCACAACTAATTTTCCAGTGCTTATCTCTGCTCGATATACTTATATGCTTATTCTATCCCTTATGTGCTTTTGTTTGTCCATTTTTTTCTATGCTTTTCTTCTCTCTTGATTTTGTGTTGCGTTGTTTTCTTATTGTCTTTCCCCCTAACTTATATTTTTGTAATGGCTACCCTGTGACTTTACTATGTCTACCTAACAAATTCTAACACAGTCAACATTTTGACCCTCCTCTAACAATACAGGACCCTAATTTCAAGCATTCTGTCCTAACATTATTTTTTTCAGTTTTTAGTTCTGTCCTTTTTTTATCCTCACAATGAAAACTTCATCATTATTTAAATAGAAAATGTTTATATTTGCCTAATGTTAACTGATTTCTTTGTTCCTATTACTTCTTACATTGAGATGCCCCTTCAGAGGTCATTTCCCTTAATTCATAAGTACTTATTTTATTTTATTTTTATTTTTTAATCCTCACCTGAGGATATTTTCCCATTGGTTTACTAGACTGTTCAACCAATTAGATATCTTGGTTGAACAGTCTTTTGAGAGCTGTCTATATCACTCTCTTTCCAATTAATCACATCCTGTCTTGTTGCCAATGATTGCCCTGACTTTCTAATTGAACAATTTATTGTTATCTAATACTTGGTATGACTTAACTAAATAAACATATACATTTTTACTACATATGTGAAAGGTGGGCAGCAACTACTGTGTCAGAAAAAGTTCAATAACAGATGTCTTATGCCCCAGTTCAAGCTGGCTCTGCCACCAACTCATCTTGTGACCTTGGGTGTGTCATTCTGAATGTGGCTCCTTACCGTCGATGTGCCTGTCTCTAGTACCTCACCAATACCTTTCATACAGAAGGTGAAGAATAACCATTGGTTGACCTTAACTAGAATCCTCTGGCCCTCTAGTTCCACATTTATAAAATAACCAGATGATCTGCAAAGAGCCTTCCAGCACTCTTATTTGGTGGTTGATGGCTTCTTTCCACAAATTATAAGCTCCTTGGGGCAGGGTCTCCTCAAAGAGACAACCTGGTGTAATGGAAAGAGCATAGTTTTGATGTTGGATGTGTCTGTATTTCAATCTCAGCTCCATGACCTACTGGTTGTTTTGCCCTGATCAAAACTCTTGATAGATAAGATAATTAAATCTGCTTCATGAGGTGGTTTGAGTATTAAATGAGATAATGTCTATAGAGCATCAGGCATAGCACTTGGCACACAGCAAGGGTACCCCTGCTGGTGGGTCTGTGGGGCCTCTGCAGCACCATTCCATAGTGGCTGCAGGGCTGGTATGTGTGGCCTGAAAATCCATCAGAGTGAATGATCTGATGCAGTCTGTCTTCCTTTTTGTTTAGACTGTGGTCAGAAGTTTCAGCCCCTGCGTTTTAAGGAGATCATGCCCTCCCTCCATTTTGGAGACCACTCCAACTCCCAAAGCAGAGACGGTGGTTCTCAACTCTCATTCCTTTCCCCTTTGCAAGGTTGTTTCTTTATGAAGAACCCAACTTGCAGCCCAAACCCCATGAGGGGGTTTCTGGGACCTGGCCCAAGGGTGAGAGAAATAGAGGGAAGAGAGAGCTGGCAGGGCCCTGCTGCAGGTGGGCCTCCAGTGCTTAAATAAAGGACAGGCATACAGGAGACGCGAGTGGGAGGTTCTGGCATCCGGCAGATGATTTCCCTTTTTCTTTTCAAAGAAAGTTGAATTTACAGGAATGCAAGAGGGTGAGGTAATTTTAAATCTTCAACAACAGCAAACTCATCTAAGAGCAGGAGGTGGGACCAGCTCTGGAAAGGTTTAACTCTGCAAAGGCCTCTAGCCCCACCTGGCCTTCCCAGGCCCCACTGGGTGGGTGCTCAAAGCCAACCCTGGACCCTCATCCAAAGGCTCAGCAAGACATTTCCTTCCCCACCCATTAGGTTTCTAGTAGCCCAGAGGCCATAGCCCCAGACACAGGGTTTGTTTACCTTTTGATATCAGATTTTTAGTTGGGAGAGAAACAGGCCTAAAACTCACCAACAAATTCTGGTGTGCCAAAAATGTTCTTAAATTCAACTCCATCTTCTATTTCATGAGCCAGGCCAAAGTCAATTAGCTTGATGTGTGGAATGGGAATATTCTTGTCTAACAACATAATGTTTTCTGGCTGGAGAACAACAAAAAAAAAAAGGAAGAAAAGAAAAGATGGTAATTAAAGCCCTGTTTTGTGTTTTTGCTTTGGGGCTGGGGTGGGGTTTGGTGTTCTTTTTTTGGAGACTAAAACAACAAACTCTTTCTTGTTTTTGTGTCCTCAGTCTTTTCCTGTCAACTCAAAAACAGGCACAGCACTGAGGGCAAGGCCTGGGTTTTACCAAATCTGCTGTACCTGCTGCTCACAGCAGAGCTGGAGACTTTTGCTTTAATCACCTGTCTGTCTGTGAATGGCAGATTCCTTCAATGCAGTGCCTCTGTTTCCCCATCTGTGAAATGGGGCCAGGGAGATAGCTGCAGCATTTCCTATATACAAAACCTCCTCCTCTGTGTGAATGTGTTGGGCGTAGGGGTGTCACAGCCAAGCCTCGGTTTACACTTGGTTAACTGACCTTTGCCTCCCCGACCACCTCTTTCCCCTGATGGGCCAGCTTCCTGTTGACAATACTCTTCTCTAGCCTATAGGTGGCTTACACATCTCTATGTGCTCAACTAATTTTGGCCCTCAACAGGGACAGGAAAAAATGGACCTGATTTCCAGGGAGAATACCAGCTGTCCAGGCTATTTCCAGCAAAGAGCTGCCAGATCTGACGTAACAATGCGGTGTGCAGTGGTCGGGGGACAGCCCTACCCTGGCCTCACACCCCAGGCTCCCAGTGAGGCTAGAAAAGGATCCTGAGCCTACCTTCTCACTCCCCCCCATCTGCTCGGAGCACCCTCTGCCTCACCCTCTTTCTTGCAACTCCCACCACAACTCTCCTAGACTCCATGGACAGTGGAATGTTCTGAAAACATACATCCACACAAAAACTTGTACACAAATGTCACAGCAGCATGTTCAGAAGAGTCTCAAAGCGGACACAGCACAGATGCCCATAAACTGATAAACAAAATGTGGTGTATTCACATGGTGGAATGCTATTCAGCCACAAAAAGGAAAGAAGGCAAAATAAATTAATTAATTAATTAAAAGGGAGGCCGTGGCAACGGCAGTGACGCATGGGGACTGGCTTGGCAGTGAAGACAGCAGGCCCCCGCAGCCTCAGCAGCAGACCCACCTGGGCAAGGCAATCGGCCTGGGTGCGACCAGCAGTGAGGAGCTGTCCTCAGCATCCCACCTTCTGCGGCCAGGATGCACCTCCACACTCCTTGCAGCCTCTACCCCCAGGGCTGCAGCTCCCCTTGGCCAGGGCGCGCACACCATGACGAAAAAAGACAAGAAGTCCTTCAACCAGAGCCTGGTGGGGTGGAAGATCTTCATCAACACCCGACCACCAGAGAGTTCCTGAGGCACACCACCTAGAGCTGGGGTTTGATCTTGCCCTTCCACCTACTCTTTTATGGGTTCCTGGTTGCACTCTTCACGTTCACAACGTGGGCTGTGCTTCAGACTCTCAACAAGGAGGTTCCAAAATACTGTGACCAGATTTCTAGTCCAGGACTTACAGTTTTTCCAAAACCAGGATCAGCACTGGAATATTCATTCACTGTGTCTGATCCAGAGCCCCATAAAGGGTACGCTGAAGACCTTAAGAAGTTGCTAAAGCAATGTGCTTTAGAAGGACAGAAGCACCTCACAGCCTGTCCTGATGGAGTATCTGTGAACAGAAGGGGCCCGTTTATGTTGCATGTCAGTTTCCTGCCACCTTACTCCAAGCACGCAGTGGTGTGGGACACCCTCGCAGTCTTGTGAAAGTGAACAGAATAACTGGATTAAAGCCTCAGGGAGAACCAAGGAGAGACTGCTCTAGTGTTCCTAAGAGTGAAATCACAACAACTCCATCAGCTTATCCTCCCAAGGGAAATAGAAACTTAAAATATTTTCCATATTATGGGGGAAAACTACATGTGAGGTATCTACAGCCATTAGTTGCTCTTCAGCTCAGCTTCGGTGCTAGAAGTACCCCCCAAAAAAGTAATAGTCAAGTGCAAGACTGTCGGATCACCCAACCTGAAAAACCATGATGATCGTGACAAGTTTTTAGGACAAATTGCGTTCAAAACACAATGCGTGCCTAGTAAGTTAGAATATCTCCACAGGGTAAATGTGTTGTCTGCCTTCATTTTGGATCAGCTGGACCTGACATTCTAGAATTATGAGACCACCCGAGAGAGAGGTGGGGTGGTGCATGACACTGGGTAACACTGTAATGCGCTTCCCGACCATAGTATTCGATGTCCTCTGGAGTGACTGCCTGTTGCCTCTGCTGCCTTTTGGAACCATGGCACAGCCTCTAGATGGGGACCGTGAACACCTGATTCTGAACATGGGGGTCTTGTCCTATTTTTATGTGGTTTAATTGCCAAGTGTCTAAAGCTTAATGTGTTGTGCTATGTAAATATTTTATAGATTTAACACTAGTTAACTGTTACATTTTGATGCCAGCAAAGTTTTAGGATAAAATGTTACCTGAACAACATGAGTGATTTTATAGCTGCAAAAAATGTAGTGTGTGGAGAAGTTCTGTGTGTGAAGAAGAAAAAATAAAATAAAAGTGGGTTTGAAAGGTAAAAAAGAAAAAGAAGGAAGTACCGATACATTCTAGAGCACAGACGAACCTGGAAAACATGCTAAGCGAAAGAACCAGTCACACAAGATCACGTATTACATGATTCCATTTGTACGAAATATCCTGAATAGGCAAATCCATAGAAACAGAAAGTAGACTAGTAGTTGCCTAGGACAGGGGGAATGGAGAGTGACTGCTAACGGGTACAGGGTTGTTGTTTTGGAGTGATAAAAATTTTCTAAAATTGATTGTAGCATTAGTTACATAACTTTTTAAGTTGTACACTTTAAATGGGTGAATTGTATGGAATGTGACATATCTCAATAAAGCAGTTTTAAGTAGATAAACAAATAAATGTGCATACATATATTTATGAAAATTCAATGTTCCTCTTTCTCAAGTTACTGAAGAATTTCCCACCTCCCACCTTTATTCACACCATTTGCTCTACTGGGAAATCCTGTTCAATCTCTGCCCACTGAAATCCTAGCCAGGCTTCAAAGTCTAACTCAATCCACCTCATCTCTGAAACTGTTTTTCCCTAGCACTGAGCCCCCCCCAACACCACCCTCAGAAGTAAACTCTTCCTTCCCCCAGGTCCCTTGTGCTTATTTGAGACTTTTTGTTATGACATTTGGCACGCTCTCCCTGTCCAACAGTCCTTGCTGTCTTTGTCCTAGCTCCCCTACTGGACCCTTGGCTGGAGGGGGGACTTGGGTCTTTGCATCTCTACCCCTGCTGTGCAGAGCACAGAGGCTGGTAGGCTGGTAATGGCCCTCTCTGTAGCTAAACTGATTCTGAAACTGGACTGAAGTCACCCCAGATGCCCCCACCCCAAGCCTCTCAGCACCCTGACATCTCTGTGACCTAATGTCACAGTAGCTGGAAACTATCACTTGAATGAGCTGGCTGAGCCCTCCCTGCCTTTAAAAAAAACAAAAACATTTCCTTTTGCATTTTTTAAGCTAGTTTATTCTTTTTCCCTTCCGGAGACGTCTCTCAACTTTATTTTGAAATGTGTCAAAGTCCTTTCCCAAGGCAAAGCAGAGTGTTAGGCTCTACGGAACGGAGAGTGAGGACAAGGGAAGGTCAGGAGTTAGGACTCAGGCAGGCGGTCCCACTCGGGTGCCCCTGACCCACCTCCCAGGTAGCCACCCATGGGCCCCAAGCGTCCAGACACCCCATGCCGTGAGCTGCAGCCCCACCCTCCCGCTGCACACCAGTTCCTGGGCAGGTGGCTTCTCTGGCCTTTCTCCTACCACATTCCTCAGCCACCTTATTGGAAACCTCTCTTCTCTTCCAGGGAATAGCCCTGAGGCCTGTCTCTGGAGCCAAGGGGCCAGGGCCCCAGTTCCCCCTGATCACCACAGTGTGCTCGAGGCCCAGGCATTACCACGCAGCACACACTGAATGGGGATGGGAGCCACGGTGGACAGAGGCAGACACTACAGACCTGGTGATTCCCAGGACTCTGGGGCAGTAGGGACAGGGGTGGGGAATGACAGGGAGGAAAAACAATTGTATGCTGAGTTCGCCCAGGTGGCCCCACCCCAAGCCGCACTCCTGCCCCACCCCAAGAACCTAACAGCAAGCAAGTGACTTCTCTGCTTGGAACACTCTTCCTGTTCAGTTCCTACCCCAAGCTGGCTGATTCCTATTCACATTTCAGTGAAAACAGTACCTCCCCCAGAAGGCCTTCCCATGCCACCTCCCCGGTTCCCACGCCACCTGCGCTTCCTCTATCGCAGTGCCTCCTCCACTGTCCCAGGGGGGTGGCTCACTTACCTGTCTCCCCTCTGAGCTTCCTGAGGGTTTTGTCCCTATCATCTACCTAAAGGTTTGTATAGAGCCTGGAGTCCATCAGGTGCTCAATAATTGTCCCTTGAGTGAAGACATAGGCCTCTTAGTGAGTCCCTGCAATGTGCTTGCCAGCACGTGACACATACTTTATGCCTCACCAAAGTCTCTCAGCTATCTTATGCAGTGGGTGTTACCATTCCTCATTGTTTTTTTTCCAGAAAAAAATCTAAGACTGAAATATGGGCTCAAGGACACAGGGATTTTAACCTCTAGCTGTTGGACTCCAAAGCTTGTGCTCCTAACCACTAGAATAAATAATCCCCTCCCCCGCTCTCAGGGTCCTGGACATCTACCCCAGGGAGAAGCAAGAATGTTGCTCGGGCCTGGCAACCTGGAGCAATCGCCCACCCTGGCTCAGGTACAGCAATTTCCCTGCTCTGGCATCTGCTTCCCATCTAGGATGCCTTTTCTTCCGGTGATGGTTTCACTCAGGCAAGGGGCCCCAACCCCCGCCCCTGGCCTGGCCTGGCCCCTCATGCTGTGTGCAGAGGCTCAGAAAGGACCTCCTCATCTCAGTGAGAAAACAGAGGTGCTGGCAAAGAAAGTCCCAAGGTGGGTCTGGATAAAGTGATGTGGCCTGGGGAT